AGGGGTGGGGCATGTGGAAGGGTGAGGTCCTGCGGGGGGTGGGGATGGGGCACATGGAAGGGCGAAGTCCGTGGGGGAGGCGGGGCATGGGATGGGGCATGTGGAAGGGCGAGGCCCTGGGGGGGGAGGGGGAGTGTGGAGGGGGCCAGGAGGGAAGGCGATGCCCAGGGTGGGGGGCAGATGGGAGGGAGGGAGAGGAGCCACCTCTGTGCCCTGCTGCAGCTGGTGTGAGGAAGGAAGGGGAGCGAGGGGCAGGATCTCACGGGAAGAGGCTCCCTACAGAGAGGGTGACGGGCCCCCCCAGTCCCAGGGAGGGGGGACATCAAGCAGGGAGGAACCTTCCCCCCACTCTGGGGCAGGGCCTGGGCACAGTGACTCCGATACTAAAGGGCCTTTGATACTCACGGCTGAAATGAGCCCCTGGGACCACTGGCCGTCGTCCACTGCATTGGCGGGGATGGCACCCACCTGCGGGAGCAAGGACAGGGTGAGTGAGCCCATGGTAATGGCGCGGGGCCCAGCGAGCGGCTGCAGGGAGCACGCAGCCCTTCTCTGTCCCTGGCCCCAGAACCCCACGGGCACGGCAGCCCTGGGCCTTGTCCTGCGCTCCAGAGCATACAGCACCCGGGGGGGGTACCTCTGCGGCAGGGCACCCCACAGCTGCCTGCCCCCTACCACTGAAGGCAATGGGCCTGGACAGCGACTCAGAGCCAGACGCTCCAAGGCCAGATGCGACTATTGTGAACATCTTGTCTGATCTGGATACCACAGGCCCTAGGACCGGTCCGAGCCCCCTGCACGGCACGGGGCCCTAGGACCGGTCCGAGCCCCCTGCACGGCACGGGGCCCTAGGACCGGTCCAAGCCCCCTGCACGGTACATGGCCCTAGGACCAGTCCGAGCCCCCTGCACGGCCCAGGACCAGTCCGAGCCCCCTGCACGGCCCAGGGCCCTTACCGGACTTACTTGGATTAATTTCTGCTTCAAGGCCAAGGCCAGGGCTTGAATGAGAGCAGATTCTTTAGAAAAACACCCAACCTTGATTTCAAAAGTTTCCAGCAATGGAGAATCCACCACAGCTTGGGGTAAGTTGTTCCAGTGGTAACTACCCACACCGGCACCTTATTGCTGGCTTCAACTTCCATCCACTAAATCTTTTGTCTGCTAGACTGAAGAGCCCTCTGTGACACCCTGGCACTCCCTTATTCACCACTGTCAGGTAATTAGGATATGTTTTGCACAAACTATGCCTTGTGAGGTCTCATTCTAAAAGTCTTGATCTGCTAGACAGTAATATCTCACTGGATTGTATGTGCCATCATCGTATGTGAAGTTTGGCTATGTATGCGTTACTGAAACATGTTGTGCGGTTGAAAACACCCACAAGCAGCCTTTCAGGTACAATAGTAAAAAGGCCAAACAATGTTAATGGGGTTAATGGTGTAAAACTCTAATTAGGAAGGCCATAAAAGAATTTGAAGAACAGCTAGCCAAAGACTCAAAAAATAATAGCAAATTTTTTTTAAGTGAATCAGAAGCAGGAAGCCTGCTCAACAACCAGTGGGGCCACCGGACGATTGGGATGCTAAAGGAACACTCAAGGACGATAAGGCCATTGCGGAGAAACTAAATGGATTCTTTGCATCGGTCTTCCTGGCTGAGGATGTGAGGGAGATTCCCAAACCTGAGCCGTCCTTTTTAGGTGACAAATCTGAGGAACTGCCCCTGATTGAGGTGTCATTAGAGGAGATTTTGGAGCAAATTGATAAACTAAACAGTAATAAGTAGGGCTGCTGATTAATCGCAGTTAACTCACGCGATTAACTCAAAAAAATTAATTGCTATTAAAAAAATTAATCTTGATTAATCGTACTTTTAATCGCACTGTTAAACAATAGAATACCAATAGCAATTTATTAAATATTTTTGGATGTTTTTCTACATTTTCAAATATACTGATTTCAATTACAACACAGAATACAAAGTGTACAGTATTCACTTTATATTATTTTTATTACAAATATTTGTACTGTAAAAATGATAAACAAGGAAATAGTATTTTTCAATTCACCTCTGTGGAAGCAGAGGCCGCGGCTTTGGCTCCTCATACAAGTGTAATCTCTTTGTCGTGAAAGTGCAACTTACAAATGTAGATTTTTTTTTGTTACATAACTGGACTCAAAAAAACCAAAACAAAGTAAAACTTTAGAGCCTACAAGTCCACTCAGTCCTACTTCTTGTTCAGCCAATCGCTAAGACAAATAAGTTTGTTTACATTCACAGGAGATAATGCTGCCCGTTTCCTATTTATAATGTCACCTGAAAGTGAGAACAGGCATTTGCATGGCTCTTTTGTAGCTGGTATTGCAAGGTATTTACGTGCCAGATCTGCTAAACCTTTGTATGCCCCTTCATGCTTCGGCCACCATTCCAGAGGACATGCTTCCATGCTGATGACGCTCGTTAAAAAAATAATGCATTAATTAAATTTGTGACTGAATTCCTTGGGGGAGAATTGTATTTCTCCTGCTCTGTTTAACCCATATTCTGCCATATATTTCATGTTATAGCAGTCTCGGATGATGACCCAGCACATGTTGTTCATTTTAAGAACACTTTCACTGCAGATCTGACAAAAGAAGGCACCAATGTGAGATTTCTAAAGATAGCTACAGCCCTCGACCCAAGGTTTAAGAATCTGAAGTGCCTTCCAAAAATCTAAGCGGGACGAGGTGTGGAGCATGCTTTCAGAAGTCTTAAAAGAGCAAAACTCCAATGCGGAAACTATAGAACTGAACCACCAAAAAAAGAAAATCAACCTTCTGCTGGTGGCATCTGACTCAGATGATGAAAATGAACATTCGTCAGTCCGCACTGCTCTGGATCATTATCAAGCAGAAACCGTCATAGGCATAGATGCATGTCCTTTGGAAGGGTGGTTGAAGCATCAAGGGACATATGAATCCTTAGCGCATCTGGCACGTAAATATCTTGTGATGCTGGCTACAACAGTGCCATGAGAATGCCTGTTCTCACTTTCAGGTGACATTGTAAACAAGAAGCAGGCAGCATTATCTCCTGCAAATGAGAACAAACTTGTCTGAGTGATTGGCTGAATGAGAAGTAGGACTGAGTGGATTTGTAGGCGCTGAAGTTTTACATTGTTTTATTTTGAATGCAGTTATTTTTGTACATAATTCTACATTTGTAAGTTTAACTTTCATGATAAAGAGATTGCAGCACATTATTTGTATTAGGTAAATTGAAAAATACTATATCTTCTGTTTTTTACTGTGCAAATATTTGTAATAAATAATATTAAGTGAGCACTGTACCCTTTGTATTCTGTGTGGTAATTGAAATCAATATATTTGAAAATGTAGAAAACATCCAAAAATATATAATTAAATGGTATTCTGTTATTCTTTAACAGTGCAATTAATCATGCAATTAATTGCAATTAATTTTTGAATCACATGATTAATCGCGATTACTTTTTTTAATCGCTTGACAGCCCTAGTAATAAGTCACCAGGACCAGGTGGTATCACCCAAGAGTTCTGAAGGAACTCAGATGTGAAACCAAGAACTACTAAGTTAGTTTGTAACCTAACATTTAAATCAGCTTCTGTACCAGATGACTGGAGGATAGCTAATGTGACGCCAATTTTTAAAAAGGGCTCCAGAGGTGATCCTGGCAATTACAGGCTGGAAAGCCTGATCTCCGTACCGAGGAAACTGGTTGAAACCATAGTAAAGAACAGAATTGTCGGACACATAGATGAGCATAATTTGTTGGGGAAGAATCAACATAGTTTTTGTAAAGGGAAATCATGCCTCACCAATCTACTAGAATTCTTTGAGGAAGTCAACAAGCATGTGGACAAGGGGGATCCAGTGGATACAGTGTACTTAGATTTTCAGAAAGCCTTTGACAAGGTCCCTCACCAAAGGCTCTTAAGCAAAGGAAGCTGTCCTGGGATAAGAGGGAAGGTTCTCTCATGGACTGGTAACTGGTTAAAAGATAGGAAACAAAGGGTAGGAATAAACGGTCAGTTTTCAGAAAGGAGAGAGGTAAATAGTGGTGTACCCTGAGGGGTCATATTGGGACCAGTCCTATTCAACATATTCATAAATGATCTGGAAAAAGTAGTTAACAGTGAGGTGGCAAAATCTACAGATGATACAAAACTATTCAAGTCCCAAGTAGACTGCGATGAGCTACAAAAGGATCTCTCAAAACTGGGTGACTGGGTAACAAAATGGCAGATGACATTCAATGTTGATAAATGCAAAGCAATGCACATTGGAAAACATAATCCCAACTATTCATATAAAATGATGGGGTCTAAATTAGCTGTTACCTCTCAAGAAAAAGATCTTGGAGTCATTGTGGATAGTTCTCTGAAGACATCCACTCAATGTGCAGCGGCCGGCAAAAAAGCGAATAGAATGTTGGGAATCATTAAGAAAGGGATAGATAATAAGACAGAAAATATCATATTGCCTCTATATAAATCCATGGTACGCCAACATCTTGAATACTGCATGCAGATGTGGTCACCCCATCTCAAAAAAAAAGGTATATTGGAACTGGAAAAGGTTCAGAAAAGGGCAACAAAAATGATTAGGGGTGTGGAACGGCTTCCATATGAGGAGAGATAAATAAGATTGGGACTTTTCAGCTTGGAAAAGAGACGAAAAAGGGGGGAATGTGATAGAGGTCTATAAAATCATGACTGGTGTAGAGAAAGTAAATAAGGAAGTATTATTTACTCTTCCTCATAACACAAGAACTAAGGGTCACCACATGAAATTAATAGGCAGCAGGTTTAAAACAAACAAAAGTATTTCTTCATAACACACAGTCAACCTGTGGAACTCCTTGCCAGAGGATGCTGTGAAGGTCTAGACTAAAACAGGGTTCAAAAAAGAACTAGATAAGTTCATGGAGGATAAGTCCATCAATGGCTATTAGCCAGGATGGGAAGGAATGGTGTCCCTAGCCTCTGTTTGCCAGAAGCTGGGAATCAGTGACCGGGGATGGATCTTGATAAACTTGATGATTACCTGTTCTGTTCATTTCCTCTGGGGCACCTGGCACCGTCCACTGTCAGAAGGCAGGATACTGGGCTAGATGGACCTTTGGTCTGGCCCAGTATGACCATTTAGATGTTCTTATTGAGGAAATACACACTCACAAGGATCACTCCAGGAACTGCATACAACAGAAACCTCTCAGAGACAGCACTACACAATGGGAACTGTCGACCCAGGTCACAGCGGAAGATCTTTCCAGCAAGTTGGAAAAAGATATAAAAGGAGGGAATGACATCATGACGGGACCTCCCCCCACACCCCAGAAGAGAACACCTGGAAACACCCAGGGAACAAAGACTGAACTGGGGGAGGTGCTGGTCCCAGGCAGGAAAGAAGGAAGCCTGTTGATGTAGAAAACCTTGGTGGACTGTTTATGCTATGTAACAGGATTTGAATTAAGCAGTGTCTCACCCTATCTAGTATATTAGGCTTAGATTGTGGTTTTATTTTATTTCTTATGGTAATCTACTTTGATCTGTTTGATCACTTCAAAGCTCTCTTTCTGTAGCTAATAAATCTCTTTTATATTTTACGTAAAACACTGTGTGTTGTTTGAAGTGCAAAAGGGATAAATCTCAGCTCACGAAGAAGAGCTAGTGCACATCCACTTTCTTTTGTAGAAGTGGTGGACTGGGTAATAAATTCATACTGGTCGGGTTTTGACCAGAGCCAGACGGTACAGCTCTGGGGTCCTAGGCTGAAGAGCTGGGGGGTATTTTGGCTGTAGCCTCTCCATTGTGGGTTCATGAGTAGCTGGCTAGAGCCTGCATGAACACAGCTTGTGGATGTTGGTGAGAGTCCAAGCTTGGAGGGCTTTGCAGTTTGTCACAAGGTCACAGTGCAAGAGGGAACCCAGACTGGTAAGACAGAGGGCTCAGCTATACTCCAGTTCCAGGTGGCACCCTGGGAGGACCTGTCACACCCTCTATGATCAAATATTTGTTCTTCCTGGAGGTATTGACACTGTGGGTAAGTCACTGTAACCTTGTTGAGAGGCTAAACAGACAGCTCTCTGAGCAGGTCTTCTACTCCTCTGATCATTCGCGTGGCTCTTCTCTGAGCCCTCTGCAATTTATCAACATCCTTCTTGAACTGTGGGCACCAGAGCTGGGCACAGGATCAGTACTTGTCTCACCACTGCTGTGTGCAGAGGTAAAATTCTCTCCCTGCTGCCCTATTTGTATACCCAAGGATCGCACTAACCCTTCGTGCCCCAGCATTGTGCTGTGATTGTGCTTAGAGAGGATGTTTGTGCAATACCCAGAGCGGGGCTCAGAGCCTGGCCCGGCTCCTCCAGTAGCAAGTGCCACAGCTCTCATGGCCTCTCCCCTGCCCGGCGGTGTTACCTTTCCTTGAGCCACCAGCTCTCTCTGGGCCGCTGAGGCTGCCTTCACCAGGGCACTGGTTGCAGCAGCGATGGATTTCGCAGCCTCCAAGATTTGCTCCTCAAAGTTGAGACTCTCGTCCGCCTGCTGCAAATGGAGACAGAGGGTGTGAGCCCTGGTGGGAGAGGAGGGGAACGCCGGGGACAGCTGGGAGGAGAGCTGTGCTGAGAAGTGGCAGAGAGCAGGCATGTGTGCAACATGGATGGATGGAGGGGAACCTGGGAGAAGGAACAGGCAGCACTGTGCCCCAGGGAGGGAGCCCTGTGGTGCCGGGCGAGGGGACAGCAGGAGCGAGTGACACTGGAGAGCTCTCCCTGGGGAGGGGGTGCAGCCCCGCTCTCCCCGCAGCGAAGGCCTTGGAGCCACAGAGGTTGATGGGGGAGCCCTCGGCCCGGTCAGGGCACAGCAGCCTCCAGAGGGCCTGGCAGGGCCTGGCGAGGCCCCGGGACCAGATTCTGGTCTGCCAAGCTGGGCGCAGGTGGGGGCAGGGCAGCCTACCTTGGGTTTGGCCCTCGGCTTCAGCTGCTCCAGTTTCTTGGCTGCAGCTTCAATGGCAGCTGCTGCTCCCAGCAGCTCATTCTCAGCAATGACGGTGGGATCCTCTGGGTCGACCCACTCGGTCCCTGTGGTGGGGAGAACCGAGACGTGGGCCTGAGAAACCAGTCCCAAGAACACAAGCCAGACCCGCACAACGCCAGGGTCTGGAGATAGGACCCCAGAATCCTGGCTCCCAGCCCCCCTGCTCTAACCCACTAGATCCCACTGCCCTCCCAGAGCTGGGGAGAGAATCACAGGAACAGAACAATGGCCAGACTGGGTCAGACCAAAGGCCCATCTAGCCCAGTCTCCTGTCTGCCGACAGTGGCCAAGGCCAGGTGCCCCAGAGGTAATGAACAGAACAGGGAATCATCCGGTGATCATCCCCTGTTGCCCATTCCCGGCTTCTGGCCAACAGAGGCTAGGGACACCATCCCTGCCCATCCTGGCTAATAGCCATTGATGGACCTATCCTCCATGAATTTATCCAGTTCTTTATTGAACCCACTTATACTTTTGGCCTTCACAACATCCCCTGACAAAGAGTTCCAGAGGTTGACGGTGTGTTGTGTGAAGAGATACTTCCTTATGTTTGTTTTAAACCTATTGTCTATTAATTTCATTTGATGACCCCTAGTTCTTGTGGAGAGAGGAACACTTATTAAGTTGCTTTCAGTTAAGCTTGCAGTTTCTGGGTCTGTGTTTGTGGTTGACAAGCGTGTCTGGCACAACCAGGAGTCCCGAGCTGGCAGAGAAGGCAGGGGCAGAAGTAGTCTTGGCACACTGTTGGCAGCCCCAAGGGTTTCTGTGATCCAACCCGTCACACCCACAATTAACCTTTTGCCATTGTGAAAACTGACCATTTATTCCTACCCTTTGTTTCCTGATCCACGAGAGGACCTTCCCTCTTACCCCATGACAGCTTACTTTGCTTAAGAGCTTTTGTCAAAGGCTTTCTGAAAGTCCAAACCACACTATCAACTGGATCCCCTTTGTCCATGTTTGTTTGACCCCCCTCAAAGAATTCTAATAGATTGGTGAGGCATGACTTCCCTTTACAAAAGTCAAGTGGACTCTTCCCCAACATATTGTGTTAATCTATGTGCCTGATAAGTCTGTTCTTTACTGTAGTTTCAGCCAATTTGCCTGGTACTGAAGTCAGGCTTACCGGCCTATAATTGCCGGGATTGACTCTGGAGTCTTTTTTAAAAATTGGTGTCACATTAGCTATCTCCCAGTCATTTGGTACAGAGGCTGATTGAAGTGATAGGTTACATACCACAGTTGTTAGTTCTGCAATTTCATATTTGAGTTCCTTTAGAACTCTTGGGTGATACCATCTGTCCTGGGGACCTTTTACTGTTTAATTTATCAATTTATCAATTGACAGTCTGTATCCCCATGTTCACCCTTTTTACAAAGCTATCATGGATTTTGTACAAAGTATGCCTTGTAAGGTATCATTTGAAAACTCATAATTTGCTGATCATTATTGTCCTGGTAAAATATGAACGGCAACATTGTATGTAAAGTTATAAGGTTCTAGTGTTTAACATTACTGAGACATATTCCAAGTTTAGAAAAGCAGGCACAAAACAGTTCCTCAAAGACAAAGGGCAAATTGATGCTTCAGCCAGGTGTCAACAAAATCAAATGGACTATCACCTGGTTAAGTGGCCATTCTTTTGAGGAAAAAAGAGTGTGAGCGAGAAATTTACATTGGCAAATAAGTTGCCATCTCCCCAGACTTTCTGTGCCCTGAACCCAAGCTGGAGATGAGTCTCAAAGAAGAGAAAAAGATATAAAAATGGGGAACAGACACCCCAAATCATCTCTCCTGATCCCTCTAGTCATTGTATTGATAACACTTGAAGGACAAAGGAAGCACCATTGGACTGTGGGAGGGATTCTAACTGAAAGATTCTGCCACTAAAACTGCTGAAATGTGGTGAGAAAGACTTTTTGCTTTGAATTCACTTAGCTTGTTAAGTTAGGTGTTAATTACATTTTACCATTTATTTCTTTGTAACCAATCCTGACTTTTATGCCTCATCCCTTGTAATCACTAAAAATCTATCTTTCTGTAAAGTCTCAGAGGGTAGCCGTGTTAGTCTGGATCTGTAAAAAGCAACAAAGAGTCCTGTGGCACCTTATAGACTAACAGATGTATTGAAGCATAAGCTTTCGTGGATGAATATCCACTTCACCCACGAAAGCTCATGCTCCAATACATCTGTTAGTCTATAAGATGCCACAGGACTCTTTGTATCTTTCTGTAGTTAATAAACTCATTTTATTGTTTTATCTAAACCAGCGTGTTTGGATTGAAGTGTTTGGGAAACACCATTTGTGATAACAGGATGTGTGCACATCATTTTCTATTCATGAAATGAGACTTTCTATGAGCTCGTGTTGTCCAGAAGCAGAGAGCTGGGCAGTACAAGCTGCACATTTCTGGGGGAAAGTCTGGGACTGGGAGTTTGCTAGTGTTGCCCTGCAGAGTAATTCACGGGTGGCTGGCTATCGCACTCACACAGTAGAGCTGGGAGTTTGCTAGCGTTGCCCTGCAGAGTAATTCACGGGTGGCTGGCTATCGCACTCACAGTAGAGCTGGGAGTGGTTTATGTGCTGGAGGCTGTGTGTGAACAGACCAGCAGTGGTTGCTCTCACAGCGAAGCAGTGTAAAAGGCACCCAGGCTGGAGAATTGAGGGGACACAGCTATTCAATAGTCCAGATTGTACCTTGGGGATGTCATCTGACTCCTCATTCTGGGACAGTTCCTCAGATCGGTCACCTAAAAAGAATGGCTCAGGTGTGGGAATCTCCCTCCCACCCTCTGCAGTGAAGACCAATACAGAGAATTCATTCAGCTTTTCCGCAACGGCCTTGTCTTCTGTGAGTGCTCCTTAGCACCTCGCTCGTCCAGTGGCCCTGCTGATGGTTTGGCAGCTTCCTGCTTCTCATGTATTGACATTTTTGTTTTGTTTTGCTGCTAGTCTTTGTGCTCTTAACTAGTTTTTCTTCAAACTTTTTCTTGGCCTGCCCTGTTGTACTTCTACACCTGACTTGCCGGAGTGATGCTCCTTTCTATTGTCCTCGCTAGGTTTGGACTCTCTGTTTTTAAAGGGCACCTTTTTGCCTCTAATCGCCTCTTTTACTCTGTCGTTTAGCCATGGTGGCCTTCTTCGGCTCCTCTTACTGACGCCCAGCTCCCTTCCAAGCCCTGGTTCAGAGTCCCAGCTGAGATCCTAGCCGCTGAGCAAAGACTGCCCACAGCTCCGGAGCTGGACTTTACCTTTCATGGCTTCGGCAGCCTGGATGAGCTCGGTGACGGAGCCAGCCACCCGCTTGGAATAGCCAGCCAGCTGCTGCTTCAGCTCGTGACTTGGCTTCTGCAGAATCTGGGGAGGGAGAGGTCTGTGAGCAGAGGCAGGCTGTGTCCCCAGAGAGCCCCCCGGGGACATGGCTGGCAATATCTGGCATAACTCCATCCAGACCTTTCACAAACCTAGGGCTGTGCCAACTCCCACCCTCCCTACCCGCAGGATAATACCATTGGGAACAGGAACGGGCAGCCCAGGGGCCCATCTATCCCGGTCTCTGGTCTCTAACGGTGCCCAGGACCAGCTGCCACAAGAACCTCTCAGTGGCCATTCTGGAATGACAGGCCTGTAGGCGAGTTTCCCCTACTCCTGGCAAGTGGGGCTGGCTTGGGCACTGAGGTATCATGTCCATTGTTTTAACCCTTTCTACAGTGACTTTAGTTGGTCTCATTCTCCACAGAAAGCTGATAGTTTCCTGAACCCTGCTGAGCTGGTGGTCTCAGTGACACTTTGTGGCGGTGAGTTCCGCAGGTTAAGGTGATGCCCCCTTCCTCCACGGTGGAATTACCCAATCCAGAATCCCTTCCTCCGGGAGTCATTTCACCTCCCCGGCCCTGGGTTCCTGGAGCTGAGACCTTGTTCCCTCCCCCATCTCGGTCTGTCTGCATGCCAGGGAAGGCTGCCGGTCCCATACCCGGAGGCACTGAGGTCTGGCCAGGCAGGTGCTGAGCTGCCACATTGCAGGAGATGCTAGGCTTCAGCACTGCAGCCAGGGCCCAGCTCTTCACATGCCCAGCCTGGCTCTGCAGCTGCTGGGCCAAACCGTGGGCACACGCTGCACTGCGAAGGGCTGGGCGCTGGCCAGCCACACACCCGTGGTTAATGCACATGGCCAGGTGGCTCAGCAAGTGCTGTCACCAAGGGAGGGATCTCTGAGGGGCGACGTCCTGGAGAATAGGGCTCACAGAGCCCTGCAGTGACCCCCACGCAGACATTGGAGCATGTGCGCGTGCACACACACACACACACACACACACAGCATGTCCCTGCCCCCGGGTGACCCAGCGCACACGTGTGCGCACACAGACCATGCCCCAGGCCCATGGCACTTGGAGCATATGCACACGCATGCACACACAGCACCCTCCCAGACCCACGTCACAGGGAGTGCGTGCACACATAGCACACACCTAGGCCTATGTCACTGGGAGCATGTGTGGACACACATAAATAGTGCGCACACATTGAGCACACCCCTACCCCTGTCACGCAGAATGTGTGCACATCAGTATGCATGTGCACAGAGAGCACACCCCTGGCATGTGCTCTCACATGCACCGGCAACACAGCCCTAGTCCCGGTCACCTAAAGCATGTGTTGTGTCCCACAGCCCGCCCCACTCCCACCCACCCCAGCTGTGGCACTCGGTGTGAGCCTAGTGCCATTCGGGCACATGCACACACGTGGGCAGTGACCAAGGCTCATGCTGGGGCAGACACACGGGGTCACTCCAAGCACCACTGTACTCACCGGCTGAAAGGGTGGAAAGAACAGAATATAGAAAAGAAGAGAGTAAAGCAGTGAACAGCCTGCAGGGGCAGTGCCAGTCAAAGGTCCCGGGGGGCTCTGAACATGCATGTGGAGCCTGAGGGGCAAGGGCTGGGATTGCCAAGGGAGGAAGTTGTGTGTGCAGCGGAAGTCAGGGAGAGTTCTGTGTCACGGATGAGCCATTCGGACCATCTAGTCTGACTTTCTGCACCGTGAGCACCAGAGGGAACCCCCCCGGGATTCCTGCATCAAGCACACTTCCTGCTTGAGCTGCAGTGTGCCTTGGGTGGG